AAACAATGTTGTAGGTGGCTTATGGTAGAGAAATGAACATTCAATTGTCTGGCAACAGCTCTGGTGGACATTTCTGCAGTCAGCATGCCAGTTGCACGCTCCCTCAAAACTTGAAACATCTTTGGCACTGTTGTGTGACAAAACTACACATTTTAGAGTGGCCTTTTGTTGTCCCCAGCACAATGTGCACCTGTGTAATGATCATGCTATTTAATCAGCTTATTGATATGCCACACCTGTCAGGTGGATGGATTATCTTGTCAAATGAGAAATGCTCACTAACAGGGATGTAAACAAATTTGTGCACAACTTTTTGTGAATATGGAACATTTCTGGGATCTTTTATTTCAGTTCATGAAACATGGGACCAACACTTTAAATGTTGTGTTTATATTTTTGTGCAGTATAGTATGATATGTTAGACAGATGGTTACTTAAGGCAAAAGTCTAGCAAACTAAAGGTTGTGAGTTCGAAGCTCATCACGGGCAACTTTAGCACAACTTTAGCATGCCAGCAGTCTGCTGTGCGGAGGGTGAAGAAGAATGGTGACAAAACTTTCCCTTGTGGGGCACCTGTGTTAGTGATGATGGTGTCTGAGACCGAGTGGTTCTGTTGTCTGACCCACTATAGCCTGTCAGTGAGGTAGTCCATGACCCAGGTGATGGTGGAAGGATGTAACTGCCTGGAGTTTGCGGGCTAGAAGATGGGTCTGGATGGTGTTAAAGGCACTAGAAAAGTCAAAGAACATGATGCGGACTGCACTCCCTGCTATCTCCAAGTGCTCATACGCTTTGTGCAACCTGAACAGCAGTGCATCTTCCACACCTATCTTGGCCAGGTAGGCAAATGAATTTTGAACATGTGTACTATGTTGGATCTCTACTGACATTCAATCAATTTAAATAATAAAGATTTGGACCATTTCATTATGTTCTTACAACTCAGAAATCTTATTCAATCGCTTCAGCAGAATCTGGATAAACCCAAGGCATCAAGCATAGAAACAAATACTGAAAGAAGCTGCTACGCCAAAGAAGTTGATTGCCAAGTTATATCAAGGGTTGATTGAAACTCTACCTGATGGTTCAGAACCTATAAGGAAAACATGGGAAACAGATCTAAAGTAAGAAATTGAGGATAACCATTGGTCACAGATATGTGGAAATGTTCACACCTGCTCCTACATCCTATGACATAAACTACAGCAATTTGAGATAATGCATGTAATGCACCCAGAAATGTCACATCTCTGTTAGAGATGCAAAATGCACAAAGGAACCCTATCAGTGGAGGCTGGTGGGAAGAGCTATAGGAGGATGGGCTAATTGCTGGAATAGCATTAATGGTATGGAGAAACATGTGGTTTCCATATGTTTCCATATGTTTGCGATGTTCAATACTGTTCCATATATTCCATTCCAGCCATTACGATGAACCTGTCCTCCTATAGCTCCTCCCACCAGCCTCCTCTGAACCATATTATATATGTTGTGGTCCTGTTACAAACTGACACCATTTTGGGATAATGTATGTGCTATCATTTCATTGTCTAGGAATTTATATCCATCCATCTCCATGATTATGTCTGTTGGGAAATGTAAATATTGATGATCAATATCAGAGAAAGTTTTGTAATCTAGGTCTAATTGCTGCAAAAAATAATTATAGCCATCAATTGATAAGCCTCATATTCACCCTCAATAACAAATTGGAGGACTGAACTATCAAGCTACATCCCATCGAACATAAACCTTTGACAGAATTTGGAAATCGTATGTTGACCATCTTAGAGAATGTTTTGTATTGTGGGTGTTTTGTTTTTGTGTTGTTTGTGAGAACATAAAAATAAATAAAGGAATTGGTTACTTGTTACTTTCACTGACCTAATTTCACTGACCAAGGATCTAATTAAGGTGATTATGCCAAAACCTAAGCCTGGAGGCAGGGCTTTCTCCCATAGAGCCATATTTTTATGGAATGGTCTGCCTATCCATGTGAGAGACGCAGACTCGGTCTCGACCTTTAAGTCTTTACTGAAGACTCATCTCTTCAGTAGGTCCTATGATTGAGTGTAGTCTAGCCCAGGGGTGCGAAGGTGAACGGAAAGGCACTGGAGCGACAAACCACCCTTGCTGTCTCTCCATTGGGATTCTCTGCCTCTGACCCAATTACGGGGGCTGAGACACTGGCTTACTGGTGCTTTCCATGCCTTCCCTAGGAGGGGTGCATCACTTGAGTGGGTTGAGTCACTGACGTGATCTTCCTGTCCGGTTTGTCGCTCCCTCAGGCTCGTGCAGTGGAGGAGATCTTTGTGGGCTATACTCAGCCTTGTCTCAGGGTAGTAGGTTGGTGGTCTGTTGATATCCCTCTGGTGGTGTGGGGGGCTGTGCTTTGGCAAAGTGGGTGGGGTTATATCCTGCCTGGTTGGCCCTGTCCGGGAGTATCGTCGGATGGGGCCACAGTGTCTCCCGACCCCCCCTGTCTCAGCCTCCAGTATCTATGCTGCAATAGTCTATGTGCCGGGGGGCTAGGGCCAGTATGAAAAATGTATGCACTCACTAACTGTAAGTCGCTCTGGATAAGAGCGTCTGCTAAATGACTAAAATGTTTTTTTAAATGTAAATTCTTAGTAAGTATGCTCCCTCTAATTCTCTCCCTCTCCCTCCCCTCCTGGAGGACCTGAGCCCTAGGACCATTACATTTTACATTTTCGTCATTTAGCAGACGCTCTTATCCAGAGCGACTTACAAATTGGTGCATTCACCTTATGATAGCCAGTGGGACAACCACTTTACAATATGTTTTTTTTTTCTTTGGGGTGGGGTAAGGGGGGGTAGAAGGATTACTTTATCCTATCCCAGGTATTCCTTAAAGAGGTGGGGTTTCAAGTGTCTCCGGAAGGTGGTGAGTGACTCCGCTGACCATGCCTCAGGGCTACCTGGCCTGATGACTCCTTGCTGTCCCCAGTCCACAGGGTCGTGCTGCTGCTCCAGTTTCCACTTTTCTGCCTGCGGCTATGGAACCCTGACCTGTTCACCGGACGTGCTACCTTGTCCCAGACCTGCTGTTTTCAACTCTCTCTCTCTACCGCACCTGCTATTTCAACCTCTAAATGCCCGCTATGAAAAGCCAAGTGACATTTTCTCCTGATTTACTGACCTGTTGCAACCTCTACAACCACTGTGATTATTATTTGACCATGCTGGTCATCTATGAACGTTTGACATCTTGGAGAAAAATCTGGCCTTAATGGCCATGTACTGTTATAATCTCCACCTGGCACAGCCAGAAGGGGACTGGCCACCCCTCAGAGCCTGGTTCCTCTCTAGGTTTCCTCCTTTCTAGGGAGTTTTTCCTAGCCAATGTGCTTCTACATCTGCGTTGCTTGCCGTTTGGGTTTTTAGGCTGGGTTTCTTTATAGCACTTTGTGACACCTGCTGATGTAAAAAGGGCTTTATAAATACAATTTGATTGATTGTATGTCCCGTCAATAAATGATCAGATCGATGCAGAAACAGAGCTCCTTGGTCTTTACGTTCCTGGAGTCACCAGTCAAAGCATCCTGGGTAAGGAATCCTTATTTTCGTTATGACACAGAATACTGTGTCGTAAACTATTGACATAACATTGTGTATCAGACAGGTATGACCACTAGAGGGTAGTGGTATGTAGGCAGGAACAGGGAACCAAAAGCTGCACACACATTTTCCAGCTGTGCATTCTTGACCTTGACGTGGCTCAGAAAATATGTCCAGATAGAATAATATTTAGTTCATTGTAGGTGTCTGTATGGAGAAATATAAAGAGTAGGACCCATTGCTAGTATGTCACTGCAGTACAGTTAATACAAGTCATTTATTTTCAAGAAAAAGACAAAGTGTTTTGATATGATTTACTCCATTCCTCACAGTCACAACCAGTCAGGTCACACCAATCTACTTTCAGTCCATACTCTCTCTCACACACACACAAAATACATTTTGATAAGCTTTAAAAAGATGGCACCATTGCCTGGACAAGGCAAGGGAGTGCTTTAAAAGGCAATTATACACAATATTTCCTTTAATGAGAAAGATAGACATGTTTTATAATATTATGATAGAATAAATCTGGTTTCTGAAGTCAGAGTGCTACTGTTAAATAATATTGCATAGTTAACGATGAGGGGGCATGGATTCTTTTGATTTTTATATGTGAGTGAAAAGTAAAATGCTGCTGACCGCATGGGGCTAATAACATGATTCCATCTCAAATCCAACCAGGATGTACGTGTTGTTACGTTATGTATGTACACTGGGTTAGCAGTGCTGCACTGGAGTTAAACACAACAATGTGTGGCAAATGAAACAATCAATTAGTCAGAGACCTCCAGACACTCATTATACTCTGTCGTCTGAAGCTTTAGAATGGGTAGCTGAAGAGGTAACTTGCTAAATCTCTTTGCAGGCAATCAGAGAAGTTAGCAGAGCTTTCCAATAAAACAATAACACTCATTCAATGAGCTATGAAGTCTTTACAGTTCCAATCCAAAAGATGCCTGACCTGTCGTTCAAACAGAGAACTTTATTCCAAACGCTGACATTCAGCTTCAAAAGAGATCCAGGGTTTGATAGAGTAGAGTAATCTCCTAGAAGAATCCTTGTCCAATATCTGTTCAGCTCAGCTGTGATTGGATCACAGCAAACAAGTCCCCAAGAGGGAATCTTCAGCTTTATTTATAAAGTGTCCAAAGATAAGTGCTGTAGTAATGGAGTCCAGGACTCGGACTGAAGTCACGAGTTTCATAACTAGACCACGAAGCAGCAGAGTGAAAGAAAACAAGATATTGTAAACCAGACATTAAAACGATTGAAGAAATTATAAAGCGTCACACTGCTGCTGCCGTCTGCCCCAATCCTACGACTGAAGTTCCCTGCCTGCCCTGGGGCTGAGCAGTCTTTTCCATCAGTCCATCATTCCATCCCTTAAACGGTGAAAGGTCCAGCCTAAAAGACCTCCTTCCATCTGTCCATCAATTAATCCATGATTTCCTTTACTTAATCCTCAGATAGACAAGCACGTCCTCTTGGTAGTCGTAACAACAGTTTCCATGTTCCCTTCTCCCCAGTCCTTTCCCAGCCTCAGTAGCTTCTGCAGGCCTTAAAGTCCTTCTGAGCCAACAGAGCCACAATTCCTGGGTCACCGGAACTCATAGATGGCTGCACTGTGTTCTGGAACATGGGTGAGGTTCAGAGACTGGTACCTGTGAAGGAGACAGAGTCAGACAGTGCTAGTTATTGCAGAAAGTCAGGAGAGGAGAGATGCATTGGCCTGTCCCAAATCAACCCCTAGTCCTTGACTTGTATCATACAGAGAACAGTTAATTCTATTTAACTTTACTGAAATAAAAATCACATAACTTCATGCCCCACAGAGCCTGGGCATGAACAACATTCTGACCTTGATAACCTGAGCAAATCAAATATTTGCAAAAACCAATCTAAATAACAAATATAATATTAATTTAGTGAAAAAAGCATCAGAACTGATGATGTACAGGAATATGTTCAAAAATTAGCAAGGCCTGGCTACATCTGAGCCAGTTATCAGTCATAACATTTCCATGAATTAACCAGTTAGTATTTAGTGTCCCGTTACCATTCTGAGCTCCTGTGGTAGTAGTAACCCTCTATGGTGGCTGTGGACTTCTGGAAGCAGATATAGTAGAAACCAGCAAAGGAAGCACCGCTGATGTCTTTAATGGTGTGATCAGGGACCAGGAACTGTTCCTGTGGAGGAGGAGGACAACAGTTAGTACATCCTTATAACAACAGTACATAGAGGAAATATTTCCAAACCTCATATGCATGTTTCAGGTTTTCCTTGGTAATGGAGGAAAAGGTGACATGCGGTCAGGTTTGAGCTTACCTTCCACCTCATGAAGATGTAGTCAGAGTTCTTCAGCTCGTCATAGTCAAACTCATCCGAGTTGAACATCTTTGCATACTGGTAGAAGGCCTGGAATTTGCCCTGGAGCCCAAATAGAAAATGGTTAAAACACACCACACAGGGTTCTTTGCTGGAACAGTACAATCTGTTTAACAATCATAACTACTGTTGTTGCTTGACAAATCTACTGATATCAGACTCAGACAGTAAAAGCCATTTATGTTACGTAGTCTGTCCACGAGAGATGAATAGCAACCCAACATCATTCATGGTGGGGGGGGGTGGGGGTGATGCCCCCACATTCTCACCAGACAAGATTAGCCTACTTCAATTGGATCTGAGGTCTTAAGCAGAGCAACGTTGGTGGAATCAGATTATTAAATAATTAGGCTAAATTAAAGATCACCGTCGACTTACCCAGTGCTTGCGATCCACATCCTCATCTGCATCCCACTTCCTGGTTAGAAACGGACGCTTCCTGCTGATGATCTCCCCAGCAAAGAACGTAGTCAGAGTGGGGTACTCCTATGGAAGAAAAACACAACAGAGAAAGAGAAACAAGTTATAGGCTGGGAATCAGAACCATGATGAAAATAAAAGGGTAAGATTCAACCTTTATTCTACCTCTTTTCGGTATGAGGTAAATCATTCTCACCTCTGTCAACCCTTTGATCTTCAAGTACCCACACAAGTATGAGGCTTCCATGGTCACATGCTGAACGAAACAAAACAACACTTCATTGTGAGGCTATACATAAGGGCTGGACATACAGAAAGATGAAAGTCAGATCAATGAAAAAATGACTTCTGCTGGAGTCTCGGGGCTGATAGGGTTAACATTACCAATGCCAGCTCTCATACCACATATTTGTCACTAGAATGTCACTTCAATTAATGATAGGGTCATCCTAAAGCTAGGTTTAATTAAGCAATAAGGCCAGAGGGAGTGTGGTATATTGCCAATATACCACGGCTAAGGGCTGTTCTTAAGCACGACGCAACACGGAGTGAATGGACATAGCCCTTAGCCGTGGTATATTGGCCATATATCACAAACCCCCGAGGTGCCTTATTGCTATTATAAACTGGTTACCAACGTAATTAGAACAGTAAAAAAAAAAAAAGTTTTGTCATACCCGTGGTATCAGCATTTAGGGCTTGAACCACCCTGTTTATAATGGCTGTTAGAGCACCCCTGACAAAATGTAAGATGACGCTGGTGGTAGGGCTGGGTAATATAGCAAAAATATCATACAGTATTTTTCATATTTTTGATGGTATTTAACGATATTTTATGAGTAGTGCGTGACCCTACGGTGGCAACACATACATTCTAAGTGATTTCAATTGGTCTTTCTTCATTCTGATTTTTTTATACTGTTCAATTTAACTTCAACCCAAAAATTATTTCAATCCATTTCTGCATTCCCTGCACTCATTTGAGATCATTTCGACACTGCCACTTAGGGCTGCATGATATGGGAAAAAAACGAGCCCTTATTTTTAACCAAATGTTGCCATTGCGATTTGACAGGCGATTTAGATCAAAACATCATGGAAATAGAACGATTATTATAAATTATATAGTTACAATATAATAGTGGGCACTTTGAATACAGTGTAGTTTGACATAACGAATAAAAATGCCAGGGAGGAGATATTGTGACAGGGTAGGAACGAAAGTGATGGTCAGTGTTTCCTAGGGGACCCTATAATCTTTGCCTACATTTAATGTTTCTTATGTAGCCAACATATTCATGCTTCACCTATTCCTCTTTGATTTATAATAATAATAATAATAATAATAATAATAATAATAATAATAATAAGCCATTTAGCAGACGCTTTTATCCAAAGCGACTTACAGTCATGCGTGCATACATTTTTGTGTATGGGTGGTCCCGGGGATCAAACCCACTACCTTGGCGTTACAAGCGCCGTGCTCTACCAGCTGAGCTACAGAGGACCACCGATACTGTTGCACAAACAACATGCTGATTTAGGCCTACAACAGCACTGGCATCAGGCTGTATTAGCTAGCTACATTTGCGCTGACTCAGTACATTTATTAGCTAGCCAGCTAACTAGCGATTAGCATTAGCTGCTAACACGATTTAGCTAAAACTTGCTAAAAAAAGACAAACTAGATGTTTGCAGATGTAAGAAACAAACTAATAGTGTAGTTATAGCACGCACGAAGCAAAGTGGAAACAACATCGTTGTCATCAACATTGTTGCATGTGCTGCATTGACCATGCAGTCTGAACGCAAGTCTCGTGGTCAAGCGACAACAAATGCTTGAGTGACAGGGGGCGGGGCTAGGTCTGTGTGGAAACCGCATGGAGAGAGAGAGAGCAGAATGATTTATTTAACTAGGATGACTCAAGTAACATGTAAACTATAAAAATGGACGTTACACAAGGCATATCACATTTAACAAACATTCAAATATCGTTTTAGAAGGTAAAGTAAAAACCCAAACCGGTCCGTGCATCAATACCGGCATATAGTAAAATACCGTATACCGCCCAGACTAATACAGTGTTGGGGAGTAACATTAGTGAACGCCATGTAGTTCAACTAGTAATGTAACTACATTTTGCATTAGCTTGGTGGTAGTTGACCTAAATTCAAATCTAGGTAGTGTTTTCAGTAGTTAATTACTTTTTTGCCCTGTAGTGGTGTAGCCAACTACTGGAACACAGGACAAACATACGTACAGGTAAGAGTTTTCAGAATATACATTTTTACAAGAATCGACTGATGGTGACTCAATGTTGTTGCTAGCAAATCCCGCGACCAGGTCATCAAAACCCAACTCCGCCTCGATATAAGAGAACTGAGTTGAGGGTTCCTCAGGTATTTTTCTGGAAGCTGTCAATCATTACGTGTTTTGACATGTCAGCTAAATGACTCGTCAGCTGACTGGCAAATTAAAGTTTCATAAATCGCACTTGCCTGCAAAACAACCTCGACATCGTAGGAGTTGCCTTTGCTCTTCTGGTGTCCTCGGAACTTGGAGCCGCTGTAGAGAAGCGAGGCGACAACCCCGGGCTGGTGGGTGTTGATCGGGGGAGGCGGGATAAGCGAGGCCGAGGACGTGAAGGCCATCGAGGTGTAACGGAGGTATCCAGCGGGGACAGGCATGATTCTGGTACCGCGGGGAGGACACCGAAGGGGGTACGGAGAGCACGAATGAGGCGGCTCACCTACATCCAAATGCCTCCAAATCAGTAAGTACTTCAGTCACCACCAAGCTCCAGAAAAGTAAGGGGACTTCGACGCGGGTGCCGTAAGGCAGCAGCATCCTCCTCTCTCATTAGCTGAGGGATTTCACTGGTCTAAAACCTCGCTGCTAATTGGCTTATTTAGCGCAATGCTGTCTGGGACGTGTGAGGATGTAGTTCTTTCCGCTCTGGCACTATTCCATTCTGGTTGATTTTATAACCACTATGGAACTACGTTTCCCATGTATCTGGGAATTCTGTCATCTGTCAAATACGGAAGGTCATGCTCATGGAGAGATGAGATGCATTGCAGTGAGAGGTACGTGGAAATACAATCGTATTTCTCCAAATGGTTACTTTTAGATCAGTCAACCTTCAACTACTCTTCAGTCGTTTGTTATAGCGACAGCGATTTTTCCTGCATTTTGAATAGCGACACTATCCGGCATTCATAATTCCTGCTAGCTAACGTTAACTAGCTCGGCTAACCAAGTCAACTGCAGGTTTTGAACCCCACTTGAATTGGGTAAAACTTGTTTGTTAATAACTCTTTGTGACTGACACGATGCTGAGGAATCTTGTGAGATTACACAGTCGTGTGGGGCATGCCCTCTCTCCCCCCACTGTCTGCCCAAGAAGTCAAGCTCTCAAGCTGCTGCTCTCGGTGAACTCAAAATCTTACTCCATTATCACAGGTAAGAGGTGCACCATTTGATCACCCTTTTCATCAAATATCAAGGCTCTCAAGAGTTTGCTGGTTTACAGTGATCCTGGCTATATGCACCATGGAGGTTGCACAGTTCTTGTCATGTTGAGTTTGTTATGCTCTCATCAATAGAAAGAAAGAAATTCTACGAGGACGTCAGCATATCCCACGGAGAGGGTGAGTACTGGACCGGGCAAGTGAGATACTTTCTTTCTTGATTGAAATAAGTGTCTGAGTGCTAACAATTCAAGAACTCACTAACGTTACCTTGATTCTTGGTCTGCAGGTGGCATGTTTGAGATCAACCTGGACCAGCGGAAACTGAAGACACCAGGAGGAAAGCTGTTCACAGCCCCCAACGAAGCCTTAGCCATTGCCGTGGCGAATGAGTGGGATACTCAGAAAGACGTGCTCAAGTTCTACAGTATGCATATGGTAGGACCTTTTTAGCTTAGTACTTTTGTTTGATGCTTCATGTTGGCGGTGTCTGGAATGACACACTGTACCCCAAACAGGGCACTACTTTCACTAGAGCTTTTGACTTGGGCCCTGATTAAAACTAATGTGGAAAAAGGGTGCCATTTGAGATTTGTTCTCTCCTTCTCCAGACCACTCTCTGCAACACAGCCCTTGATAACCCTACATTCCGCAGCAAGGACCAAATGATCACCGCTGCCCTCAAGTATCTGGAGACTGACACTATCTGGTACGCAGAGGTCTTCATAGTAGCATAGGGTTTTAGTTTCTGGTGAATAAAAGTAACCTGCCTAACATAGGACCAATATGATACACAGATTCTCTCCATCAGATCATTAATGTGCATGATTGTGTAGAAATTATAACTCTGTGATTATGTTTTCTGCTTGTAGTTACAGAGTTGAGGAGCCTCCATCTTTAGTGGAGCTTCAGAATAATGAATGGGACCCTGTGCTGAACTGGATTGAAGACAGGTTAGTTTCACTTTAACATGATCATTGACTCATTTGCTGTGAGGTACCTTACTAGAAGTTCACTGGACACGTCTACTTATTTGCATGTCATCGTCAGCAAAGGAGGGAAACAGATTTGTTGCATTGTCTTGAGAGTACTTTAATTAATGTTTTCCTCTTGCAGGTACAACGTAGTCATTGGCTCCTCTACCAATATACTGGGACCAGAGATCCCACAGGCAACGATGAATACTTTCCGCCAGCACCTGGGTTCCTATAACTTCTGGTCCCTGACAGGTAAAAACAGCTAAAAGACTCATTAGAGATACTCCCATCCCGTGCACATGTGCAAATTCTGAACTGTGTGTGGGTGCTAAAGGAATCAGCCTCTTGCCTAGACCAATGGAGAGAGAATCCTCAGAAGTTGCACCGCTGTTCATGATCACATCATATTGCTGAGTCTCAGTTAAATAGACAGTACACGACTGCACTAATACTATTTGCATGTCCTGTGTGTAGGACTGGAGTATGTGATCACCCAGCTGAAGTCAGTGGTGCTGGCATTTGCATTGATTGACAAACACATTACAGTGGAGCAGGCCGTGCTGCTGTCACGACTAGAGGAGGAGTTCCAGGTATGAACTCGCCACAGAATCAATACATATACAGAGATTAGAAAAGCATCTTGGCTATGTATTCAATCTCCCTGTCTGTTTCTGTCTCTTCATCTCTTACTAATGATTTATTTTCCCTTCTCTCTCTTTCCCCTCTCCACAGATCGGGCATTGGGGAAACGTAGAGTGGGCTCATGATGTTGACCTGTATGAGCTGAGGGCACGTACAGCAGCAGGGGCTCTGTTTGTACATTTCTCCTCCGAGAGTTCAACGGTCAAACGCAAACTCATGCAAGACTAAGAAGGCCCTTCGGAGCTTCCCTGAGTCAAACATACAAGCTCAGACCGCACTCTAAGAGCAAAGACAACAAAGGCAGTGTACTGGCCTCTGACTGGGAAGAAATCCCAACTCCTTAGGACTTGAGTTTATCTCTGGTATTGTCCTTGGCGGAACAAAAACACATATTTTATCTGTCCTGGTCCGTGAAACAATCTGCAGTTTATAAAACGTCCTGTGTGGATTCATTTCAGTAAAGAGGAACATGTCTCCTCTGCCACTCCTTCCCTATAAAGTACAGCCAAGTACGACGATGACCATCTCTTCTACAGTGTGTTTTGAATCACTAACCAGGTTTCCATCCAACCTTTTTATGGGAGTAAAGTACATGTGCGATAAAAAATGTCATGACAGGGCTGATGGAAACAAAACATTTGTTGGCAAACATTACAAATTACAAATGTCGACAAAACAAAATATGCTAGACAAATTGGGATGTTTTTGTGTCGGTAAGATTCATTACGTGAGAAATGTTGATGGAAATGCTTTTATGTGCAAATATTGATATATTAACTATCATATCGAAGTGAACTTGGAGTCACCCGATAACATGTTGTGTGGTCCAACCACTATGACTAGTCTGGAAAAAATTCAGTTTATTAGGCCATTGGTTCCCAAACGTTTTCGTCCCCCCCTTAGGGGCGCACCCCACCGTTTGTGAACCACTGTATTAGGCTACAGATTAAATACATTATGATGAACTTCACAGGGTGGTGAAAGTACAAGGTGATCCACTCAATTGATGCCCCTTTCCAATAAATATAGAGGGTCTTATTCTGGTGACATGATCATCGATGCTTGGCTGCCGTTTGACAAATAAAAATAATCTCGTTATGTAAAATGGCCTACCCCGCACTGTATTTGCGAGCTGTTTGCTAGAGCGCACGTGCCAATACCAGAGTAGGCACACTCACTATATAACGCACTTTTTTTGTGAGAAAACCATCAATAGAGTTAAATGCAATGGAAACTCATTTAACTAGTTTTTTATTCGGTACATGGGAATTTAACGCAAAAGGATTTATAGGTACATTACGTCATCACGCATCTACGTCATTGATGGAACCACATCTCTGGTGGGAAAATGCACATTTTGCTCTTATGCCGATTTTTGAATATTCGCATGAAAATTTGTCCCCAATTGAATGGAAACCTAGCTAGTTTCTCAGGGAACATTGCGCATCCACCTCTTTAAGGAATACCTGGGATAGGATAAAGTAATCCTTCTACCCCCCCCCCCCCCCCCCCCCAAAAAAAAACAACAACATTTGTAAAGTGGTTATGCCACTGCTATAAGGTGAATGCACCAATTTGTAAGTCGCTCTGGATAAGAGCGTCTGCTAAATGACGTAAATGTAAATGTTATGTAAATGTGTTTCTATGGAAACAGCGAGTGTGGATAACACTCATGAGAGTAATGTTAATGCCCTGTGCCCTCTCTGTCTCAGCCCAGATGTCTCACTCACTCCCACTGTATTTATTATGTGGTGACTAGCTTGTACACGGTTGACTTTTTCTGTTGCTTCAGTAGAAATTGAATAAATCTATCAAATCAAATGTTATTTTCCACAGGCGCCGAATACAACAGGTGTAGACCTTACAGTGAAATGCTTACTTACAAGCCCTTAAACAGCAATGCAGTTTTAAGAAAAAAAGTGTTAAGTAAAAAATAAAAAATAATTAAAGAGCAGCAGTAAAATAAAATAACAGTAGGGAGGCCATATACAGGGGGTACCGGTACAGAGTCAATGTGCGGGGGCACCGGTTAGTCAAGGTAATTGAGGTAATATGTACATGTGGGTAGAGTTGAAGTGACTATGCATAGATAATAAACAGAGTAGCAGCAGCGTAAAAAGAGGGGGTGGGGTGGGGGGGACAATGCAAATAATCTGGGTAGCCATGATTAGCTGTTCAGGAGTTTTATGGCTTGGGGGTAGAAGCTGTTAAGAAGCCTTTTGGACCTAGACTTGGCGCTCCGGTACCGCTTGCCGTGCAGTAGCAGAGAGAACAGTCTGACTAGGGTGGCTGGAGTCTTTGACAATTTTTAAGGCCTTCTTCTGACACCGCCTGGTATAGCGGTCCTGGATGGCAGGAAGCTTGACCCCAGTGATGTACGCACTACCCTCTGTAGTGCCTTGCGGTCGGAGGCCGAGCAGTTGTCATACCAGGCGGTGATGCAACCAGTCAGGATGCTCTCTGGTGCAGATGTAGAACTTTTTGAGGATCTGAGGACCCATGCCAAATATTTTCAGTCTCCTGAGGAGGAATGGGCTTTGTCGTGCCCTCTTCACGACTGTCTTGGTGTGATTGGACCATGTTAGTTTGTTGGTGATGTGGACACCAAGGAACTTGAAGCTCTCACCTGTTCCACTACAGCCCTGTTGATGAGAATGGGGGTGTGCTCAGTCCTCTTTTTTTCCCTGTAGTCCACAATCATCTCCTTTGTCTTGATCACGTTGAGGGAGAGGTTGTTATCCTGGCACCACACGGCCAGGTCTCTGACCTCCCTATAGGCTGTCTCATTGTTGTCGGTGATCAGGCCTACCACTGTTGTGTCGTTGTTAAACTTATTGATGGTGTTAGAGTCGTGCCTGGCCTTGCAGTCATGGGTGAACAGGGAGTACAGGAGGGGACTGAGCACGCACCCCTGAGGGGCCCCCGTGTTGAGGATCAGCGTGGCAGATGTGTTGTTACCTACCCTTACCACCTCGGGCGGCCAATCAGGAAGTCCAGGATCCAGTTGCAGAGGGAGGTGTTTAGTCCCAGGGTCCTTAGCTTAGTGATGAGCTTTGAGGGCACTATGGTGTTGAATGCTGAGCTGTAGTCAATGAATAGCATTCTCACGTAGGTGTTCCTCTTGTCCAGGTGGGAAAGGGCAGTGTGGAGTGCAATAGAGATTGCATCATCTGTGGATCTGTTGGGGTGGTATGCAAATTGGAGTGGGTTTAGGGTTTCTGGGATAATGGTGTTGATGTGAGCCATGACCAGCCTTTCAAAGCACTTCATGGCTACAGACGTGAGTGCTACGGGTCAGTAGTCATTGAGGCAGGTTATCTTAGTGTTCTTGGGCACAGGGACTATGATGGTCTGCTTGAAACATGTTGGTGTTACAGACTCAGTCAGGGACATGTTGAAAATGTCAGTGAAGACACTTGCCAGTTGGTCAGCGCATGCTCGGAGTACACGTCCTGGTAATCCGTCTGGCCCTGCGGCCTTGTGAATGTTGACCTGCTTAAAAGTCTTACATCAGCTATGGAGAGCGTGATCACATAGTCATCCGGAACAGCTGATGCTCTCATGCATGCTTCAGTGTTGCTTGCCTCGAAGCGAGCATAGAAGGGATTTAGCTCATCTGGTAGGCTTGTGCCACTAGACAGCTCGCGGCTGTGCTTCCCTTTGTACTCTGCAATGGTTTGCAAGCCCTGCCACATCCAACGAGCGTCGGAGCCGGTGTAGTACGATTAAATCTTAGTCCTGTATTGACTCTTTGCCTGTTTGATGGTTCACCGGAGGGCATAGCGGGATTTCTTATAAGCGTCTGGGTTAGAGTCCCGCTCCTTGAAAGTGGCAGCTCTACCCTTTAGCTCAGTGCGGATGTTGCCTGTAAACCATTGCTTCTGGTTGGGGTATCAATGGGTCAAACGGACTAAAATATGTTTGTTACTTGCACAGCAGTGACACACATCACTAGCTTTTTTGTCAAACCACTTTGCATCAAACCCTAAATGCATTAGAATAAAACTGATGTGGAAACACTGTTCAGTTATTTTTTTTAAGCAATCATTTTGAAATCCTATTATAAATTCATTGAATTCTTGTCTTGTGGATATGAGAAGTTTGTTATGTAAACATACTATCTCAAGTGTTTACATTGGATTGTGTCCACTGCGCAGATTGTAAAATGTCATAGTAAGTTGAAATAACCTAAAACCAAAATGAGGTTTTGTTGTTGGTTGTCGTTAATATACAATAATAAAGTAAAGATGGACGTTAATGTTGCCCAATCAGATTGACATGCTGATTGCTCCACGGGCGGGGCTTACTGTGCTTTTCCCATGAACTGTGACTTCGTACAAATTGTTTGTTGTCGATCAAGATGGAGTTCCTTTTGGGAAATCCATACAGCACTCCTGTGGGACATTGTATTGGTAAGTTTTTCTAAAAATAAACTGTGCCTGAAAGGAATCGTCAGATAATCGTGTTTCACATTCCTGAAACGCACTGACATTTGATTCTTACTTGGCTATCGTCTTTAGATAACCTCTTGCCTATCGACCTATTTATTAGCCGCGAAGCTATCTAGCTGGCTAACTTGCTATCATTTTGGTTATTTCCAGGCTGATTGGCAATAAATATGTAGTTAACTAGCTATGTATATATTCATCAATGTAAGCATAAACAATAGTTCGTGGTAATCTTGCTAGTTCGTGGTGGGCTTCTGGTACCGTTTGTTGTATCGACGATAGCCTGCTATAACTAACGTTAGCTACCTTGTATTCATTTCCACTACTAAACTAGCTAGTTTGTTAACAAGCCAGCTAGCTAGGTTACTGTCTGTACTGTATCTGGGTTGCGCTAACTTGCTTACTAGCGAATGTTTGTAGCTGGCAAACTAGCTAGCTATTCGATTGAACCATGCCTATGTTTGCCATGCATTTGACAACTGATACAACTGGACCACTTACCTGGGCGCAGATATCCTAAGCTGCTAGCTAGCTAACGGCCATAATAACCAACCCTCCCCAACACGAGTGGGCAACTAGCTAGTTAGCACTACCTGTCTGTTCCATAGTATAGCGTTGACAGTGGTTGTTGTGAACTAATTAGCTAGCTACAAACCTAACTAGCTGACAAGTTAGTATGTGATCATTACAATCATGAAAATGATCTTTTTTTTTCAGTACAATATTTTTCTACTGCTCAGATGAGAGGAAATGTAATGTTCTGTCTTCTTTAGAGAGAGCCACTGATGGCTCCCTTCAGAGTGAGGACTGGACCGTCAATATGGAAATATGTGACATCATAAATGAAACCGAGGATGGGTAAGTAGGAAATAGCATTCTAACTAGGCCAATGAATTACATAAAGTCAAAAACACATTTTACACCTCTTCTGGAGCTGTGTGAAGTTATTTGGCCCAAGTGATTAACATGTGAATATGACCATATTTTCTTGGTTAAGATCTCCTGCTTTGTTTGCCTCTTATCAAATATTAGTCTTATCAGAAGCAGTAATGAATTTGCTCCAAGTGCTGTTCTACTATCTAAGGCTTGGATGGCTATCTGGTCCATTAACCATGTTTGTAAAAGTGTTGAAAGCCATTGCCTGTTTCTGTTTGATAAGTGGGTAGGTGGGAAATTGGGGTACGTGGATTTGCCCCTACTCCCAGTTTATCTCAAAGTATGACATCAGTTTGATAAAGCCCTATGTATCAGGAATTCAAGGGAAGGCCACATCTACCTGTCAGTATACCAATTATTCGGTATCTGCATTATAGTGTAACCTATACCAGAGCCCTCTGTTTGACCATGTAAGTAAAACATTGACTGTTAAACTCTTTATCTAAAGTGTTACTAACATTATTTCAGTCAACATGGAGAAATGATGCTTGGTGGTGCAGTGACTACATCGTTACTACACTGTAGACAGTATGTTGTTGTGGTTATCATGCACATCATGTGTCTGTCTCCTCCCTATCTGACCCTGTGCTCTGCTTTGTGCCGTGTGTTGTTGCTGCAGGCCCAAGGATGCCATCAGGGCCATGAAGAAGAGGCTGAACGGAAACAAGAACTACAGGGAGGTAATGCTGGCACTGACCGTCCTGGAGACGTGTGTGAAGAACTGTGGGCATCGTTTTCATGCCCTCATCACCAGCAGGGACTTCATAGAAGGCGTGCTTGTAAAAATCATCTCTCCCAAAAACAACCCTCCCACTATCGTGCAAGACAAAGTGCTCGCCCTGATCCAGGTAAAGGATCACACGCACTTATGTGAGTGTGTATGCATGACATGTTTTTCTTTATTTTTGACAACTTGGGTGATGGTGCCAGCTTTCTGACAGAATTGTCCTTGCACAAATGGAAGTCATTTGAGGAAGTATACTGTATGGAAAGTGCTTTGAGAATATACTGTACAATATAGTCTACAGACTGAGGTAGTGGAGGAGGGTGTTTGGTTACCTGTGGCTACAGTGTTAACCAGTCAGGGCCTCGGTGGTGTGCTAACTGCAGCCAGGCCACTGGTTCTCTGGTTACCATGGGGATCTCTGGTAATCCTGGCCGATTCCACAAACTAACTTTTAACAAGGCACACCTGTTAATTGAAATGCATTCCAGGTGACTACCTCATGAAGCTGGTTGAGAGAATGCCAAGAGTGTGCAAAGCTGTCATCAAGGAAAAGGGTGGCTACTTTGAAGAATCTAAAATCTAAAATATATTTTGATTTAACACTTTTTTGCTTACATGATTCCATATATGTTATTTCATAGTTTCGATGTCTTCACTATTATTCTACAATGTGAAAATAAAGAAAAACCCTTGAATGAGTAGGTGTGTCCAAACTTTTGACTGGTACTGTATGTGTAATGATGATACACCAAAGATGCTCACATGTTTCCTTGCTCAGCAAGCAAGAGCTTTTGTGGTAGCCTAAATGTAATTTTTGACACCTCTGACCTTAATACTTTGACCACTTAATGAGTACAGCACTGACATTTGTCTTTGTCATCCTCCTGTCTCCCAGGCGTGGGCTGACGCGTTCAGGAGTAGTCCAGACCTGACGGGTGTGGTCCATGTCTATGAGGAGCTGAAGAGGAAGGGTATTGAGTTCCCCATGTCAGACCTGGAGACCCTGTCTCCCATCCACACTCCTCAGCGGGTACGACTGCCACTGTCGCATCCATTTGCATGCATTTCCTTACTCTACATTGAGTGTGAGAATATAGCTGATGTTCTGCCATTTTTCAACAAGTTGAAGTCTCTTTTTCTTTCTCATTTGAAGCTGTTGACTGGCCCTGAGGAGAACCAAGCCCCTCCCCCGGCCCAGCCTATCCCCCAACCCCACCAGCAGCCTCCTCCCCATGCTGTCTCCACCCCGTCGTCTGTTCCTCCCACCTACTCCGCCCCGCAGGTCCCCATCCTCGGCGCCTCTGGGTCTATCAACCCCTCCCCTGAACAGGTACAGAGTCAGTGAATTACCATTACAGTTGCAAGATCTGTTCCCTTCCCAGATTTTGAAAAGGCTTTAACATCTTCTGGATAGCTTGCATTCTAAGGTGCAAGGAGATGGATCTGAGAGGAGTTGACATGGTATTCCCTCTGCTGTTCAGATCTGCCGGCTTCGCAGTGAGCTGGACATTGTGCGTGGCAACACCAAGGTGATGTCAGAGATGTTGACAGAGATGGTTCCTGGACAGGAGGACCCCTCGGACCACGAGCTCCTGCAGGTCAGACTCCTCACCCATCTTTTGCTCTGTTATTCTATAACGTTTAAATAGGGCTGGGTTTCTTTGCCATGTGACCTGAGAAGCGAAACATCCTGGACCAAAACAATGATGGGGGGGGGGGATTATGGAGGCCACTGGAGGGTCTGCTTTTATTGTTGCTGGTGAAAGCATCCGTACTATCACCAAATGATTTCAGCCTGTGTAGCCTGTGACGGCTAACCCTCCTGTGCTTTTTGTAGGAGCTGAACCGGACGTGCCGGGCCATGCAGCAGAGGATAGTGGAGCTCATCTCCTGTGTGTCTAACGAGGAGGTCACTGAGGAACTACTGCACGTCAACGACGACCTCAACAACATCTTCCTACGCTACGACAGGTAGGCTAGCTTATACACAAACACACCGCTATGAGAGATGGCTAACATTTCTGTCACCACCTTTCTCCTCCGAGAGGCATGCATGACTTAATGTAATAGTCGTTGTGAACAGGTGTGGACTACTTGTTATTTTGATTTCTCTCTCAGGTACGAGAGGTTCCGGTCAGGCAGAGCATCTCAGGGTATCAACAATGGGGTGAGTTAGCAGTGACAGCCATAGGACTTAACCCCCCCACCCCACCCCACAGTATGACATCACTTGCTTATTTGTACATGGTTGACACATGTTCCACGAGATCAACAGGCATCATGTTATTCCTATTTCTGTGGTACTTTGTCCTCCATAGCATGCCTGTTTCTCACGTTTTCTCATTCTGTAAAGTTGTCTAGTCTGTCTAAAAGACAACTGCTGTATAGAGATTTAGGCATGTTACATAATCTGTCTGTCCACACCATACCGTTAATATCATGTCCACACTGACCGTGGCGTGTTGCCCAGGCATGTTAATAATATTTATGGTCTTCTTCCTTTCTGTTTTGTCTCTATGTCTAGCTGAGGCAGGCAAGTATGAAAGTCATCCAATAACTAGTATGTCAGGTATTTGGACCCAAGGTGGCACTGTTAAAACATGGCTGAACGATATTCACCCCGTACCTCCCATTTGCGCCATATGGCATGTTTTAACCACCCACCCCCCTCAGTAACTGACCCAGAGACAGTCTAAAGCTGGGTGTAGGATGAAGTTGCTACTAGACACTGATCTAAGGCCAGGTGGGTTTCCTCCCCGTATGGTTAAAGTTGGGATTCAGGGAGGGTAAACTGATCCTAGATCTGTGCCTAAGGGGCAACATCTATCCGTGTCTAAAGATGCACCACCACCCATCATTCTCAAGGGGAAAGATTGTTCTCTTTCGCAGCCAAAAGAAAAAACACCCACCCAGTGCAAAGGTCATTGCCACAAATGTATGACAATATCACAGACACCAAACAGCTCATTCTTTGACACAATCAAATCGTATTATTGCATTTCTCTCGCTAACCCATTTTGGCTGAGTACCTACCTACCACCTTCAGAAAAAGTCCCACAAACAACAACTGTTCCTCATTCATGGGCAGATTCATGCTTTTCTCCAGCTAACCTATGATTTTACCTGATCTCTCACGTGCTTCATCTGCCTGTACCTTTCTGTTCCAGGTAATCATGTTGATGTTAGTGAAATTGATTAATAAAACTAAAGCCAAATGTCAGAGCCCTTTTTGTGTAATCCCCCTCCCCTTACTTCAGGACTAGTTTGTAACTTTGTTGTAGTGACGGTAATGGGAAATTGAATTGGCATTCGGTTTGGAATGGCTCCAAAGAGTGGTCGTTCATAGTCTTCAACGGGTCTCTCTCTCCTCTCTTTCCCTCTCTCTGTCATCCCTGGATCCCAGGTCCTCAGTGAGGCTACAGAGGACAACCTGATAGACCTGGGCCCTGGTTCTCCTGCTGTCGTCAGCAACATGGTCACTGCCCCCGCCGCACGCCCTTGCTCACCTGCCTCCCTCACCTCTCGGCTGGCTGGCCTCGGTACGTCCTCCAGACTCTGCTACTGTACCGCAGTCTATTTAGTAAAAGGAAAATCTACTTTAACAGTGCTGAATCATTTTTAAATATATCTATATATTTTTTTGATGTTGTTGGAACAATATGGCTGGTGTTTTTTTGTTGTTCTTCAGACGTGGCTGACAGTGTGAGCAGAACTCTGAGCTCTCTGCCAAGCTGTAAGCCTCAGGACGACTTTGACATGTTTGCCCAGACCAGGACTGGAGCTCTGCCTCTGACCACCGAGACACTCATCACGTAAGAACACATCAAACATCCCGTTCAGAGACAACCCCTACCTCCTAGGCTTGTAATGAATAGAGCATACACAATTCACTATTCTACATGACTGACCGTGTCTGTTCTACACCATACATTTAAATCTGAATGTTTTCTAACGTATTTACCTCTCTCCTGGCAGAGCTCCTCTAGACGACCTTAATGCTGTAGGTGGTATTGAGCTGCCTGCTAGTCTGGATGTTAGGCAGCAGCCTGCAGGAGGGGTGAGTATTGTGGCTGGCCAACCTTCAGAAGTGCACTAACATCACTAATGATGATGTTGAGCTTTTCCATGCACTGTCGGGTAAGGCTGTCCCTGACAAAAAATAATATAATCTTGGTCGACCGAGAGCCTTCTGTTCTTTCGACCAATCGATTGGTCTACTTTTAAAACGTGTATTTTTCCATATAGACACACCCTATCTGTTTGAATAAAATGAACTATATGCACTGAGCTTGTCTGATGTTTTAAGCGCGCTGATTGATGTAAAAATTAAGACGCACTAATGACGAAAGCGGGAGCCAGAGGAAGAAGAAAAACTCCTGCTGCTGACCTTAGCAGATTCTGCCGTTACGCTCCTGAAGTTGCCGGTAATAGGCTACACAATGTGCCTTAAACTATATTTGAGAAGGCCAAGTAAAAATGAAGAATTATGTTGTTTAACCTGCAAACCAGTAGAGTGCGCCAATTCATTGGCACACTGAAGATTGTTTCAGAACTGTGGACAGCGACCACTATCCAACGCGGGAGAAAGCGCTCACTGAAGATTCAGTTTAGCACGTTGGAGCCAGTTCAACGCACCTGTGATTGAGGAGTGGGGAACTGTCTGCTACAGAGACAAAAATGTTTGGCATGGCAGGAGAAGGCTGCCGGACAATATCTTGCTTTAAGCAGGGCGGGGGGGACGTCCTCCCTAATGTTAAAAGCAGGTAAAATGAATCTAAAACAAAAATCCAGAAAATCACATTGTATGATTTTTAAGTAATCAATTTGCATTTTAATGCATGACATAAGTATTTGATACATCAGAAAAGCAGAACTTAATATTTGGTACAGAAACCTTTGTTTGCAATTACAGAGATCATACGTTTCCTGTAGGTCTTGACCAGGTTTGCACACACTGCAGCAGGGATTTTGGCCCACTACTCCATACAGACCTTCTCCAGATCCTTCAGGTTTCGGGGCTGTCGCTGGGCAATACGGACTTTCAGCTCCCTCCAAAGATTTTCTATTGGGTTCAGGTCTGGAGACTGGCTAGGCCACTCCAGGACCTTGAGATGCTTCTTACGGAGCCACTCCTTAGTTGCCCTGGCTGTGCGTTTCAGGTCGTTGTCATGCTGGAAGACCCAGCCACGACCCATCTTCAATGCTCTTACTGAGGGAAGGAGGTTGTTGGCCAAGATCTCGCGATACATGGCCCCATCCATCCTCCCCTCAATACGGTGCAGTCGTCCTGTCCCCTTTGCAGAAAAGCATCCCCAAAGAATGATGTTTCCACCTCCATGCTTCACGGTTGGGATGGTGTTCTTGGGGTTGTACTCATCCTTCTTCTTCCTCCAAACACGGCGAGTGGAGTTTAGACCAAAAAGCTCTATTTTTGTCTCATCAGACCACATGACCTTCTCCCATTCCTCCTCTGGATCATCCAGATGGTCATTGGCAAACTTCAAACGGGCCTGGACATGCGCTGGCTTGATCAGGGGGACCTTGCGTGCGCTGCAGGATTTTAATCCATGACGGCGTAGTGTGTTACTAATGGTTTTCTTTGAGACTGTGGTCCCAGCTCTCTTCAGGTCATTGACCAGGTCATGCCGTGTAGTTCTGGGCTGATCCCTCACCTTCCTCATGATCATTGATGCCCCACGAGGTGAGATCTTGCATGGAGCCCCAGACCGAGGGTGATTGACCGCCATCTTGAACTTCTTCCATTTTCTAATAATTGCGCCAACAGTTGTTGCCTTCTCACCAAGCTGCTTGCCTATTGTCCTGTAGCCCATCCCAGCCTTGTGCAGGTCTACAATTTTATCCCTGATGTCCTTACACAGCTCTCTGGTCTTGGCCATTGTGGAGAGGTTGGAGTCTGTTTGATTGAGTGTGTGGACAGGTGTCTTTTATACAGGTAACAAGTTCAAACAGGTGCAGTTAATACTGGTAATGAGTGGAGAACAGGAGGGCTTCTTAAAGAAAAACTAACAGGTCTGTGAGAGCCGGAATTCTTACAGGTTGGTAGGTGATCAAATACTTATGTCATGCAATAAAATGCAAATTAATTACTTAAAAATCATACAATGTGATTTTCTGGATTTTTGTTTTAGATTCCGTCTCTCACAGTTGAAGTGTACCTATTTAAAAAAAAAAAAAAAAAAAAAAAATACCTATGATAAAAATTACAGACCTCTACATGCTTTGTAAGTAGGAAACACTGCCGATTTTGCAGGTTATGAAATACTTGTTCTCCCCACTGTAGGTGCAGTAAAATGTGTTGTTTACAGGGTCAGCCATTGTAATACGGTGCTCCTGGAGCAAGTTAGGGTTAAGTGCCTTGCTCAAGGGCACATTGACAGTTTTTCACCTTGTCGGCTCGGGTATTCGAACCAGCGACCTTTCGGTTACTGTCCCAACGCTCTAACTGCTAGGCTACCTGCCACTATAGTGTGAATCAATCAGAATGATCAAATATGATCTCTGATTAAATGAAAGCTGCTTCAGTCTAGATGGTGTATTGTGTGTGTTAACTTCATGCAGGAGAGAGGCAGCCATGACAATATTTTATTTTTGATAATTTTGTAGCATGGAGATTTAATTCATTTCAGCTTGACCTTTCATGCATACTTTTTTTAAATTAAGAGTTTAACTGTTGCTGGTTATTACAGTATAATAACTATTATAAGTGAACAATATTACGTTACGTTTCCAACCATACAGTAAGCAGAGCAGCAGTAGTAACAACCTGGGGAAGTGAGAAAAATACTAGGAAATTAATCATACAGTAGCAGAAAAAATAGTACAGAAAAGTTGTTTAAAATGCCCCTGGCTTCAAGTCTGGTGATTATACTCCACAGACCTATACTTTTATTTGACCGAATCAACCAGGTAACAACTTTATCATGGTAGTTAGCAATCTGAATTAGACCTACAGCAGCCTAGGTTAAAACAGCCGAAGTTAAGCTGATCACTGACTCCAAACACGAATAGCCTATGTCTCTCAAATATGAGATATTGCAAAATGGAAAAGTCATATCATATAGGCTATATAATAAAGAGCAGATAAAATAAAAAATACATTTAAGAACATAACAAATTGGAACAAACAATTAAATTGTGCTTAATTAAAAGAATGAACCGCAACAGTTACAGCCAATAAGCCTAGTATTCAATCAACATACAGTGCCTTCAAAGATTATTCATACCCCTTGACTTATTCCACATTTTTGTTGTGTTACAGCCTGAATTCAAAATGGATTAAACTCAGCCATCTACACATAATGACACATTTTTGCAAATTTATTGAAAATGAAATGCAGAAATATCTAATTTTACATAAGTATTCACACCCCTGAGTTGAAACATGTTAGAATCACCTTTGGCAGTGATACTGGGTAAGTCTCTAAGAGCTTTGTGTACCTTGACTGTATAATATGTGCCCATTATTCTTTTCAAAATTCTTCAAGCTATGCCAAATTGGTTGTTGATCATTGCTAGACAACCATTTTCAAGTTTAAGTCAACATTTTAACTTGGCCACTCTGGAACATTCACTCTTCTTGGTAAGCAACGCCAGAGTAGATTCGGCCTTGTTTTAGGTTACTGTCCTGCTGAAAGGTGAATTAATCTACCAGTGTCTGGTGGAAAGCAGACTGAACCAGGTTTTCCTCTAGGAATTTGCCTGTGTTTTCTTTTTTTTATCCTGAAGAACGCCCCAGTCCTTAACAATTATAAGCATACCCATAACATGATGCAGCCACCACTATGCTTAAACATATGGAGAGGTACTCAGTAATGTATTGGATTTGCCCCAAACATAACACTTTTGTATTCTGGACAAAAAGTTAATTGCTTTGCTACACTTTTTGCATTATTACTTTAGTGCCTTGTTGCAAACAGGAAGCATGTTTTGGAATATTTGTGTTGTGTACAGGCTTCCTTTTCACTCTGTCAATTAGGTTAGTCTTGTGGAGTAACTACAATGTTGTTGATCCATCCTCTGTTTTCTCCTATCACAGCCATTAAACTGTTTTAAAGTCACCATTGGCCTCCTGGTGAAATCCCTGAGCGGTTTCCTTCTTCTCCGGCAACTGCGTTAGGAAGGACGCCTGTGTCTTTGTAGTGACTGGGAGTATTGATACACCATCCAAAGTGTAATAACTTCAGCATGCTCAAACGGATATTCAATGTCTGCTTTTTTAATTTTACCCATCTACCAATAGGTGCCCTTCTTTGCAAGGCATTGGAAAACCTCCCTGGTCTTTGGTTGAATCTGTGTTTGAAATTCACTACTTGACTGAGGGACCTTACAATTATCTGTATGTGTGGGGTACAGATATAAAGTAGTCATTGAAAGATGTTAAACTCTATTGCACACACAGTGAGTCCATGCAACCTATTATGTCTTGTTAAACAAATTATTGACTCAAGACATTTCAGCTTTTCATTTTGAATTAATATGTTAACATTTTGAAAAACATAATTCCATTTGACATTATGGGGTATTGTGCGTGTGTGTGTGTGTGTAGGCCACTGATACAAATCTCAATTTAATCCATTTATAAGTTCAGGCTGTAACGCAACAAAATGTGGAAGAAGTCAAGGGGTGTGAATACTTTCTGAGGATGCTGTAGTTGACCAGTATTATAGTAAATATATTAAACATAGGCTAATATATTTACTGTTTAAATGTTCAACTATCACAACAGTAGGCTATTTTAAATCACCTTCAACAGCAGCTTATGAACTCTATTGCTGAACATAATGGCTTGAATAAGGCTTAAAAAAAATAAGCATAGACTATTGCACAATTCCAAACATTTATCTACCTTCAACAGCAGCTTATGAACTCTATTGCTGAACATAATGGCTTGAATAAGGCTTTAAAAAAATAAGCATAGACTATTGCACAATTCCAAACATTTATCTGCCTGCATAATAGCTTAGTCTTCTCTCTTGTGAACTGTATAGGACTGGCTTACTACCTCACAGACCTGGGCTGTCACTGAACCTACTTTCCCAATCTTTTCAAGTTATGAGACAGGAACACCAGCTTGTCAACATTTTGGGGCAGAAGGCAGCTCCTGGTTTTATTGAATATTAACCCTGCCTGAGAAAAGATCTGCTCTGAAGGAGCGGAGGTGGCTGGGATTGAGAAGAGGTATTTCGCTGCTCTGGCCAGCTTCGGATACCTGTCCTCATGTTTCCCCCACCAAGCTAGCGGTCCAGCGTCGACTTTCGTTCTATCTTGGAGATAATCCTTCAGTTCTTCTTTGCTGTCCCGTTTATCCTCTCCCTCATCTCCACACATGAGCATCTCCCATTCCTTGTCCGTTTTCTTTTTCTTTGGTGCAGGTTCCTCTTCTTCATCCGTGGATGTAGAGTTGTCTCGGTCTCTCTCAGTGGGCCCTGGCTCCTCTGGCTGCGGCGCGCTCAAACGCTCGGCCAGCTGGGACAGGTTGATATAGGCTTCATCCCGTTTTGCATCATCAAGGAAGGAAAGCAGCTTGAAGCGGGGGTCTACGACTGCTGCTTGGACGTAAAGACTACTGTCAAATAGTCGGTCGTTGAGCTGCCATCTTTTGTCAATTTCCTGCACCAGCTTTGTTTTAAGACTCTTAGTGGTGGGGCTGTCGTCCTCCACTACAGCCAAGTGACGGTGTTTGAGGTGGGCCAGCATGGCTATGGTTGCAGATAAGGATGTGTTGTCCTCCTCGGACATCAGCTCAGTCAGGGTGACCATAGGCTTCAGCACATTCCAAATGTCCTCTGCCATGTTCCATTGCTCTGTGGTGAGATCATGGCTGTGTTCCCTTTTCCCGGTGTAGTTGGGGTCGGAGAGCACGTCTTTTACGAGCCGTCTATGTTCTAGCAGACGCTCTAGCATGGTCTGAGAAGAGTTCCACCGCGTGGAAACGTCTTGGGTCAGGAGGTGTTCAACCATCTTTTGTTGTTTTTGTTTGTCCTTCAGTCCCTTTCTGGCTTCCTTCTTAAAATGAGCCACGAGGTGTCTGGCTGCAGCCGCAGTGCGACAGATGGGGTCTTGTTCGAGAGCAGCGTTGATGCACAGCTGTAAGGTGTGCCCAGCACATCTGATTCCTTTAACGTCTGCCCATTCCTCTTCCTGCCTCAGTATATCCGCACACAGAACCATGTTTGCGGTGTTGTCGTGTACCAAAGCAACCCTTTTGCATCCTGGGATTTCATATGCGTCGGCAACTTCTCCAAGTCTCTCTGCAATGTTGGCTGTGGTGGGATTCTCCTCCATTTGTTTTGTCTCCAGCACAAGACACTGCAGTCTCCAGGCCTCGGTAATGAAATGGGCAGTGATGGTCATGTAAGACTCCATTCTCAGTGAGGTCCACATGTCTGTTGTGAAACTTACTGCCTGGCTGTTTTTGATAGACTCCAAAACTTTCTCTTTTGTGTTCTCATATTTCGCGGTCAGAGCATGCATAAAAGTCTCTCTCTTGGGAACGGTGTAACCAGGCTCCAAGATTTTCATCATCTTCTTAAATCCCGCGCCTTCTATCAGGTTAACGGTCCTCATGTCCAGGGAAATGAAGTCCACGATACCATCGGTTATCTCTCTTTTTCTTTTTTCTGAGATGTGGGGCTTCTGGTCCAAGGTGGTTAAACCTGAGCTAGCAGTGGAGGTGCTGTACTGGGGATGTGCCTATAAATACACAGTTAAATACACAAATTAAGTACATTTTAAATTCTGTATGCCATTACTATGTTATTACATTGTAATAGGCCTATTCAATTTCGAAATGTTCACTTTTCAAGCATATAAAACCTGTCAATGTTTCAGCATGCAACTAGAAAAAAAAAGTAGGTTAACTTACTGTTTTCAAGTGGTATGTCATATTCGTTGTCGAACTATGGTAAGCAAACCGCTGTTGGCAGAGTTCACATTCCACTTTTTTGGCGTCATCCTTTACTACAATGAAATGCTGCCATACTGCAGACTTTTTTGACATTTTGTCTTAAGGAGGTGTAATAACAGTGTGAAGTAGCTGCAGTATGTACCGGTAGCTAAATCTTAGGCTACAGTTAGGGACATTTGCGTGTGCTGTCTGCAAAATAAAAATCAGGCAGATACACTTTTAAATGAAAGGGGATGTTTGGCATTATATGTTAATAGTAATAAACAACACAATTCGGGAAAACACATTTTGTTATAAAATAATACATTTGTTATTAGCGTTGCAGCATTTATTTCATAATATAACTAGATACAATTTCAGTAGCACATATGTCTTAGAGTGATGGACTGTGCCGTCCCCGCGGCCTCCGCAATGGATTAGTCCACTGAGACAGGCGAGAATCAGACGGGTGTCTCGGTCGACCAACAGCCTATCGACCACACAATCGACCAGTCGACTAAATGGGGTCAGCCCTACAGGCACATTATTTTCCACCATTGGCGTGTGTGTTTGCTTTTGGCCTCTGCTCTAACCAATTATCCCAAGCTTACACTAACTCAGAAGTAAGGATTTCATATACAGATTTGTTATTTAGGATTTGGTTTTGATGGGGTAGATCTTTTAGCCTGCCTGTGGTAGTTGGTGCTTGTTGTTTTGAGCATCTGAAGTGACACAGTATAATTTCCCTCTAACTGAGCAGACAACCTCTCCCCTAACAACAACTTTAACATTAAAGACTAGAGTCTAGTGCATGGCCATCCCATCCCACGGTTTTTCATACAGCCTTAAAGATGCTGTCGCTTCATATTGACTGTCACTGCATGGCATTGCAAAGCTTTCACATGGCTGTTTGGTACTGCATGTCATCGATCAGTAGCAGAGGTCTCTGTACCGTTTTATCAAATGGAATGGTTTGTTTGCATTTTAATTAATTGTTCAGTTTGAGTTTTAAGTATTGCTTTTTACGTTCTTTCAGTTATATTTTTATATTTAAGTTGATTTTGTTTTGTTTCTCTGTCTTCTATTTTGTTTTCTGTGGGGTATTTTTTTTGTTTTGTTGTGGTGCTGTTTGTCCATGACGTTGCCCCATAGATTCCCGTTGGCCAATCCTCTGTCATGGATGACATAGAGGAGTGGCTGTGTACCGACGTGGTGAGACTATGATTTTATTCCGCCTGTTTTCTTTTTTCCTGTTGCATCCCTCCATTTTTGGACTCTTCCTCTTCTTCAGAAATCTAACACATTCCAATTTCTTTCTTTCAACACATTTCCTCATCTTTGACCAATCACGTGTCTGGTCCATTGTAGCTTTCTGTGTAGTGTTAAATACTAATGGTGTGTCCTGGCAGGGAACAAATTACTTCAGTATTGAACGATTTCTTTCCTCTTTGGTGCATGGTGGTTTTGTCTTAACATTCATTTGATGTAAGAATATGTGGTAATACTGTGTATTTGTTGAAGTTCTCTAAATTAAATGGAATTGCGGTGTTGGGGAATGTGGTTGATAGAAATGGAGGACCCGCCGTGTGTGTGTGTGTGTGTGTGTGTGTGTGTGTGTGTATGGGTGAATCCTGTCTGGTTTTAAGCACGGAAAAACTTGTCAAGGCATGGTTAAAGGGTTTAGTTGTGTTTTAATTAGCACTTTTGGGTAAATGCAAGGTCAAAATAGAATTTTGACCATGTCTCAATTTGTGTTGTCCTTAAGGTAGTTCCACAATGACACACGTTTTACTTTTTTCCTTCCTCAACAGCAAGAAGAGGAGGGGGTGACCAGTGAAGGTAGGAAACATGTATTCACCTCTAGTAGCTAGCATGTATAATAGGCTTTCCTCTGAACCCTCTCGTCCTCCTTGTAGAGTTTGACAAGTTTCTGGAGGAGCGGGCGAAGGCAGCAGAGACCGTGCCCAGCCTCCCGTCACCCCCTAGTGGTGACCCTGGTGCAGCTACAGGCGCACTCAAGAAGAAGGCTGAAAGACCAGAGGACGCCCTCTTCGCTTAGTACAGTGGTTTTCAAACTTATCCTCGGGGACCCCCAGACCCCTGATTCACCTATTCAAGGGCTTTGTGATTAGTTGACAAGTTGAATCATGTGTGCTAGCTGTGGAATATTTCAAACACATGGAACGGCTGGGGGTCCTGAGGAGAGGTTTGAAAACCCCTCGCTTAGTAGACCTCTCTTAACCTTTTGACTTGTGACCGGAGTCCCCAGACTGTTTCCTTTCTCATCTTCTACCATCAGCCAAAGCTCTGCTACCATATTAATGTTCTCAGACAATTTACAACACTACAAAGGGAACCCCCACGCATTGTCCATCTTTGATATTCCCATGTTGATAAACCAGCTTCATTGGGGACAAGGCCGCAATGTATTCCCATAATCAACAGTCCCTATCTAACAGTCGATGGTTTGGAACAGTCTCCAGCTTCTGATAGACAGTGGAGTATCAACGGCCATCTTTATAAACCAGCAGTTCACTCAGTCCCGGGGCTGGTCTTGTTCTGAAGGGTAATATGAGACGTACCCTACCTAATGTACTACCCATATTCTGCTCCGTTATGGCAGCAAGAAGCCATCCCTGTCCTGTCGTCCCCTACTCTACTGCATGCATTAACACATCCATCAATCCCTCCTCGGACTTAAAGGGAATTAAATGAAGTAGGGACAATTATTGTTAACCTTTTTATAGGTCAGATGAGGGCAGGTAGCATTGAGATCTATGAATGGGGAATATTCTGGATCATTGTGTTGTTTTTACGATGCATCTATTATATTGTCCATTATAGCCCCTGACTGGATGTCTTATTTCATCCATTTAACTTTGTTTTTGACTGTGTAGAATTCTAGAGTATTATCTGGAATATTAGTTTGGAGAGATTTATACGATTTCTGATTTTATTTTCAGATTATTCATTTTCATTTGACGGTTTTTAGAGTAAGACAACTAAATAATTAACGTTACTTTAGAAAATGCACTGCTATGGTTGTTTTATTGAGGTTATAAAGTTCATTTTAACAAACAAATAAGTAGTACCATCTAACCTGACAATGATTTTCTGTTTATCCATATATTGAAGAATCAGGAGAGGTACAATGCTGTTGGGAAGGCGAAGACTAGATGTTGTCATGTAGCCCAAGCATGATTGCGTCACATCCGTAGTGAATACAGTAGCTGATCATGCTGTAAGAGTCAGTCAGAAGTGATAATGTATTAGTCAGTCTTATGAGAATGATAACTTCAGGTTTTTAAGTCCTGAAATGTGGTTTTCACTACAGAAATGGAGGCAGACTGAACATTGTATGTCTGGTGTTGAATAATAACTTAATTTATGGACTGAAGTTTTGCATAGTGAATGTGAAAAAATGAACCTATAGAAGGGATGGTTATGAATACTATGAAGGAAATATAGAAGGGGACATTTGGTCTCTGATTGGTGAGTCCAACGTTCTATATGTGACTGCTGAAAAGAGGAGTGGCCTGAGTGGGAGACAGGCGCTCACCATTTAGCAAACGCGACATTCATGTTTTCAGAAACGATAACACTACTTTACTTTACTAGTACGAGCAAGAACATTGAGGACTGCAAAAATATGCACGTGCTGTTTCATACAATCACAACCACTTGACAGTCCTCTACCTTATTCTACTGTTGTTATTCAAATATCTAGTTGAGTGGGTTGGTACATTTAACATATCTGTAATCAACGGAAAATGTTGGGAAATATTGAGAAGTTTAGGAATAATTAATTTAGCATTATTTTATTCTGATCTCTCAGTATTTCAAATAGTTTTATTTTACAAAGCAGAATGAAATCATGACCTGCTTTATGGGACAGATAAAGGTTTTTCATGTGTGTTAAACATGTTTTGTTGCTCGTTTATGTACTTCAAGATAGATTTTCCTTCTATACACACTGATTTAGGTTGATTCAATGTTAGAAATTGTATAAATGTATCCGGATTAATTTGCTACAATAACTTTTTAAGGTCACTATTTATGGCAAGTATCCACTCTGTGATTGGTTGGTTTGTAACTAAGAAAATAACCCTATTGAATTTATTTGTTTTTCCATGGTTTGTTGAACAAGCAGTACAGTCATGTTACTGTATCTTCCCCTCTGTCTTAATCGATATACCATGGGACAGCCTAGCACATGATGAACCAACATCATAGGCATTAGAAAAATTACCATGCTTCTGAAAGACACTAAAAGAAGTGTTTGCATTGCACATTATGAAAAGGTTTTCTGTCTCTTCTGTGAATGGAAATACTTTGTGTGTTGTGTGCGTGGTATAAGGGTTGCTCTACTATAAGCCGGTAGCCATGTACATTTGATTTATTGTAGGGTGAAGAAGTATTGCTATGTCTGCCATCCAGTAGACAGTTTTAATATAGCTTGATATTGGTCTGGCTTGCTCAGTGGAATTATGATTCTATAATTTATCTTGTATAATCAAGGCAAGTATGACTTATTAGCTTGCCAGGTGGTCACCTCGAAGCCTGCTCTTAGAAAGAACAGATAATGTGTATATGAGAGATATATCTAGATATCTCATAAAAGGTATTTCAGAAGGGAAACTGTGTACGTATGCTGACTGTTTCTGCTGTTTACTGAGTTATAGTGAGTTCCAAAAGTATTGGGAAAGTGACACCTTTTGTTGTTTTGGCTCTGTACTCCAGCACTTTGAAATGATACATTCACTATGAGGTTAAAGCGCAGACTCTCAGCTTTAATTTGAGGGTGTTTTCATCCGTATTGGGTAAACCGTGTAGAAGTTACAGCACTTTTTGTACATAGTCCTCCCATTTTAGGGGACCAAAAGTATTGGGACAAATTAAAGGATACTGAGCAAAAATATAAATGCAAGAATTTAAACGATTTTACTGAGTTACAGTTCATTTAAGGAAATCAGTCAATTTAAATACATTCATTAGGCCCTAAACTATGGCTTTCACATGACTGGGCAGGGGCGCAGCCATGGGTGGGCTTGGGAGGGCATAGGCCCACCCACTGGGGAGCCAGGCCCAGCCAATCAGTATGAGATTTTTTCCCCACAAAAGGGCTTTATTACAGACAAACTCCTTAGTTTCATCAGCTGCCCGAATGGCTGGTCTCAGATGATCCCGCAAGTGAAGAAGCCGGCTGTGGATATCATACCCCCCAAAAAATGCTAACCTCCCCTGTTATTGTAATGGTGAGAGGTTAGCATGTCTTGGGGGTATGATATTTGTGCGTCTAACTTTCTCACTCATCATTATTCACGATTCATTCAGGATTATCCGTAATCATGGTAGCATCAACATTGATGTAGAAATGTTTAGAAACATTCTTATTTACAATATGACATGACATTAATTACCATTTCTATTGGGCACCAAATAATCTGAAACGCAACCAAAACGAACAGCAAATGCATCCAACACATTTGTAGAGTCAAAGGCTTGATGTAGTCATTGCGTACTATGAATATGGGACCAAATACTTCACTTTTTACTACTTTAATACACATAAGTGAATTTGTCCCAATACTTTTGGTTCCCTGAAATGGGGGGACTATGTACGAAAGCGCTTTAATTTTTAAACAGTTCACCCGATCTGGATGGAAATACCCTCAAATTGAAAAGCTGACAGTCTGCACTTTAACCTCATAGTCATTGTATCATTTCAAATCCAAAGTGCTGGAGTACAGAGCCAAAACAACAATGTGTCACTATCCCAATACTTTTGGCGCTCACTGTATATCTAGCTCTATTGTTTGACTCATGCATGTGTTGAACGCCAATAAAATGCTATAGCAGTGTAATCTGCTCCAACTTTATCTCTTAGGTTTTTTTTCTTACCGTATATAGTTATGTTGAGTCTTGACTGTATCAACTTGTCTGATACGTTTGTGTGCAGTTTTGGCTGTGCATGATTCCATGTGCTTGCAAAGAAATAAAACAAAGTGCATTACTGTACAGTACTGTGGAACAGAAGTAATCCTTTTCATGGCTTCTGCCTCACGGTACTCTAGTCTAAATTGGCCTATAGTAACCATTCACCCTGCTGTGGAACCACTGTATTCCCTCCAATCCTGAATCCATGGCCCTGTCTCTCATCCCTTTCTTCCTTAGGGGGGCAAGCCCTAACTGCCTGTAGTCTAGGGGCTCTCCCATTGGTCGTTTAGGATCACCTCATTCTAGAGCATGGCTGGCTCCTCACTTTCTGCTCCATACTGCCTGCTGCATTTTCCCGCTCAAAAAGATGGGCGTGTCTTATTGCACAACTCATGGTCAGCAATCCTGTGCAAAGCATGTGTGGACACTGTTGTCCACATTCTATTCTGTTCTATTCCATAATGTGTGGATTTCACTTTGGAAGGTAACTCTTAGTAATAATATATTGTTGCATTGGATGGATGTTTGTTCTTGTTGTAAACTTTTATGGCAATGTACATGTCTTTTTCAGAGTGTGTTCCTATTTCATATTTGATTGCTTATTCACTGAATTATCTCAATCTTGTAAAAATAATCCTTGCTCATCATTTCAACGTTATACTTACTATAATCGGTCTTTTTTGGAAAATGTGTATGATTGAAATGACCCCGCCAAAACACTTTCATTATAATAACTAGAAGATTCAAAACCTTTTATGAAAATCTCTAAGAAAAACGTGATCATGCCACATGTGATCGAGTACTGCATTGAGTACTTCCGTATTGTTCAGTAATGTGATAGTGGTAACAGGACGTCCATCTGAGAGAGAGGAAAGCTGCCTCTGGATTATCAATGATTGAAATAGATCGAGATTTCCTAATCAATCAATTCAATTATTAAAACCATAGAGCTCTTGATTAAAGTAAGTGTGTAGAGGGAGCAGTCTGAGCATAGCATAGGCCAGGGATCATCAGCTAGATCAACTTTTTTCTTGAGCAGATGGTTGGGGGAGCTTGAAC